GTTTAATAAAGATATTCAATCGTATGCATTGGAGGCATTCAATTTGAAGAAAGGTCAGTTTTTCGTATTTTTGAAAACTATTGTAATGAAAACTATTGTAATCTAATCTAAACTAAGCTTTTATATACAATTTCTTCTATCAGAAATCAATTGAATGAAGAAAACTAGGCAAGATTACAATCGTTTTTCTAAAGAATTCATTTTCTAAAGCTTTTCAACTCTTGAAAATCTTGATTTTTATCAAATTTTTCAATCCATTCGTTTAAAAAGTCGATAGATTAAATAAAATGAAACAAAAGTACGATAGTTTTCTTTTGATAATCTTTATAAATTTAAAAGATTAAATAAAACGTTTTAGTTAAAACAATAACCCTAAGCAAAACGATCTCAACCAGTGGAGTTTTATCAAAAACTTTATCGCCTTCACAAAATCGATTCTCAATTTAATTATTGAAAATAAAATGTTTTCAAAAAAATAAATCAGAATAAATATTTAATGCTGTTGTTGCGATGTAAGCCTTGAAAATTGTGAAAATTGAAAATAAGCTTTACTAAATTGTCAACAACCATTTTGCAGAGGAAATCTAGATTTTTTTTCAATCACGTGTGGCTGACTGGTTAAGTGTCTTTTATCTTAATCGGAAGGTCGAGGGTTCGAACCCCACATGCGACATGGTCACCCCCTTCGGATTTCTTTTCTCTTCGGGTTGAGAGGTTTTCTGGAGGGCAGTCTGGTGGTTGTGGCCCCAGTTCTTTAAAGTGACAAGCCACTCCTTCATCGTCATCTTCCCTTCACCACCAAAAAAGCTATTTAGTTCCCCATTGAGCTTAGGGTTAGGGAGCCGTCTGTCATGACGTGGGTTAAGTTAAGATATAGCCTAGTATTGTGTGTGTCGTTGTATTGTGATTGATATATTTCGTGTATGCGATAAATTCACCACTGGTAGCCCCAGTCGGTATTTTTGAATCATTTAAACCGTACTTTATTGCATTTAACATTTATGAAATCAATTTTTAATTTAAAAGTTCGGTTATTTAGTTGAAAACCTAAAAATAAAGCCTACAAATGAGTGCCAATTCCTTGTTTTTTTTTCCAGTTAATTGACAGGATTCTAATAAGATAATGAATCAAGTAAAGCCTGGATTTGGGGAGTGATTGCTGGGGTTCTTCTATAGCGCATCTTTTGTTTTTGTATTTGTTGTGGAGAAATTCTATTATTATCTTCATCATATTATCTTAATCTTAAGATTTTCAGAGTCTGGCAAAACTTTTTCATTTAATTGGCAGGATTCTAATAAAGATAATGAATCAAGTAAAGCTTGGATTTGGGGAATGATTGCTGGGATTCTTTTATTGCTCATCTTTTGCTTTTGTATTTGTTTTGGAAAGACATTTTATTATTATCTTCATCATATTATCAAGATTTTCAGAGTCTGGCTAAAATTTTCTAGTTTAGTTATGGTATAAAGACAACTTGATGATCAAGAGATGTATGCTGTTGTTAAAAATGTTCACTGATTTATTTCTAAAGTTTCCAAGCTTTAGGATCAAATCTTCGCCAGAGTAACACAAAATCGGCATTCAATTTTGTAAATTTGCTATTTCTTAGCGTTCTTCTATCGGAATTTACGTCATTTTCATGAATGAACAAATATTCAAAAGTTTTTTTCGTTTTTTTCAGGCGTTCCTAGAGCTAAAGCTTCGTTTGATATTTAGAGAAAAAAAGCCAAATCAATCTGAAAATCGTTAAAAAATTGCCGAAATACCGAAATAAATGAGCTGTGTAAATAGAAGAGGTGATGAATTGGGAAAATTGCAAAAAAAAGAGCGATTGAAGTGTTCTTTTCTATTCACAGAAATGAATGCTCAATGCTGTGCTAATCTGAAAAGTTTTTCGAGACTCAGAGCTGAATTGTTTCCGAATTAAATCAAAAATAGAAATGAAATTTAGTTAATTTGAATCAAAAAAAGCTTTCATTTGTGCAATTTTCCAATGAAAATTTGCTAGTTTTTACTGACTATCAGAAGTTCTATTCAACAAATATATTGTTATAAGGGAAGTTAGGCGAATCAACTAGATCAGCTCAGAGTCAATCAGAAGTCTGATGCCTTGTTGATGAGCTTTGTTGATGAGCTTTGTTGATGAGCTTTGTTGATGAGCTTTGTTGATGAGCTTTGTTCATCAGCTTTGTTCATCAGCTTTGTTCATCAGCTTTGTTCATCAGCTTTGTTCATCAGCTTTATTCATCAGCTTTGTTCATCAGCTTTATCGATCAGCTTTATCGATCAGCGTAATCCAGCTCACGCCCTAATCTGGGTTTTCTTTCAGGGGGTCAGACCTAGGCAAACCAATTCAAAAACTTTACATCACTCTAAGATAAGATTTTCCCCAATTCTCGGCTGCGATCCCTGCAACCAAATGATTTTTGACATTTAGTGATTGAGAATTTGGCTTATTTAAACTCATTTGATTTTTTTTTCCAGGTCAAATAACCCTTTTAGAGTGGTGGACACAAATTTTTACGAGTTTTTGACTACTGTGTGAAAAAGTGTCGAAAATGAGAATGGAAAAGCAGTAAAAATTTTTGAGTGTTCCGACAAAACGCAACATTTTGGAAGAGGGGAGTGCTGAGAAGTTGAACTTCAGAAAATCTGATTAGTCATATGATTTTTTGAAGTTTTCACCTTTACTGACACCCAATTTGGTCATTTCACGACTTTTCTAGAAACAAGCACCATTTTAGGACCGTAAAGGGTGCACTGATCAGGACGCAGCTCCCTCATGATCAATTTAGCATAAACACTTAATACGTAATACTCCGTTGTGCCCCTTCGTTCAGTTGCATTGCTCTAGGCTGGCCTAAGCCTAAGCCTAAGCCTAAGCCCAAGCCTAAGCCCTAAGCCTAGCCCAAGCCTAAGCCTAAGCCTAAGCCTGGCCTAAGCCTAAGCCTAAGCCTAAGCCCCAAGCCCAAGCCTAGGCCTAGCCCAAGCCTGGCCTAAGCCTAAGCCTAAGCCTAAGCCTAAGCCTAAGCCTAAGCCTAAGCCTAAGCCTAAGCCTAAGCCTAAGCCTAAGCCCTAAGCCTAAGCCTAAGCCTAAGCCTAAGCCTAAGCCTAAGCCTAAGCCTAAGCCTAAGCCTAAGCCTAAGCCTAAGCCTAAGCCTAAGCCTAAGCCTAAGCCTAAGCCTAAGACTTTGGCAAAAGGAAGACTCAGTTTGTAATGAGACATTAATGAAATGAGTGTAATTTTCCTCGCGTTTTCCTGATACTAGTTGCCTGCAAATTAGAAACTACCGTAAAATCGTCATTTTGCATTCAATTAGCCAAATCCTGATGAAGACCTAAAATGGAAAATCAGCTACAGTTGATGCTAGCTGGGTCTTCTCTAGAAAAAACTCCATTTTTTTGCACTTTTATTTGATCAATTTCACTGATTTTGATGTCTTGTAATAGATTTTACATGTCCATCCTTTAATGGCTCTTGTTTTAAAATTCCCGAAGTGATCTTGTGAATTTGAACGTGGAAACTCTTGTGAACTTTTCAAATAGCCAACCATTAAATTTGCGAAGTCATGAACTGATAGGCATATTATTAAACTGATAATTGTAAAAAGCTTTATTCAATATGGATTATCTTTTGGCGGCTTGCTAAACTGCAATGATTCCATGTTGTATTTGATTCGTTTGTTCGAAGGGTGTTCCCTGATCATTTGCTTGAATTAGTTGAGATTGAGCGATTTCTTGAGCTGAAACGATTTGAGTAAAAAGCGTGATGGATAAAAAACCTGCACCCCTTCTTTATATTTTCCTAACAAATATTGTAAAGTCTGGCTTTTTAAAAACGTTCTGGCTTAAGACGTATACACTTCAATTCTTTATCTCTTCATATTATCGTTACGAACTACTGCAGTGAGACACTGAACCCTTGCAGTATCCTTAAAAATCATCTCTTCTTGGCCCTTTACTATTTTGATTAGGTGGACTTTCAGCTGTTTGCCCAACCGGCTGGACTACTTGCTCAGTTACTTGAGGGTCTGAAAATGAAATTTTAAAAGTTTATCAGTTCGTGAAAAAAAACCCTGGCGCAATCTCATTAGAAGCTAACGATGAATCGTTCACGGCCTGAGATGAATCGTTCACGGGCTCAATAACAGCTCCAACATTGGGATCATTTTCTGGGGATTTTCCGCTAGTTTGTTAGGTTCATCTATATCAAAGTTTATTTGCGCTTATCAAACCTAATCTAGTTGGGATGCTGACAACTCTAATCTTCATTGCGAGAAAAACCGCGCTTTGCTCATTTTAGGCTATATACGTGTTCTGAGTCTCTGGGAATTTCCGATTCTGATTTTCAACAGGTTAGATATCGATATTTAGCGACGAATCCTGTATATCGAAACCGTAGCCAGTATTGTTGATTGAGGTGCAGTTTTGGAAAATGAAATTTTGAGCCTGAAACAAGATAACGGATAGATAGGACGGGAAAATAACCGAGTCGATAACTTGGAAAGCATTTCCGCAAGAGTTCCTTATCGCAAAGCAACGGTAAGGAATGAAGGTATATCTGCAAGAAGAGTTGAACAAGTGAGTACACTTATGAGTTAGGCAGGCTTTTCTGGTTGGTGGACCATAGAAGTAACAGTGATTTTGAATCGATTTGAGTCAATAGTCGATTTGAACATACTCATTATTTTTTTTCGAGGGCAATTTGGACGATGCAAAAAGAGAAGGTTTAATGACAAAAAAACTCAATACAAATTTTTATAGTTTAGATTTCTCAACTTTTGGATAATTCGTAAAAGCATTGAGATGTGTGATGGGGTGAAAAGGTTAAACTGAAGCCACCCGTCGACTCAAAAATTATCGAAATAAAAAGATTTGCGGAGTTTCATGCTCATTGGCAATTCTTTGAAAGGTTTATAGCCTCAAAATAAACAGCAAAAATAATAATCTTTTCAAAAATTTGATTGGTTTAGCTACTTAATAATATATTTAGTGCTCAAGCAGCTGGCGGAGGAGGCGGTGGGGGTGCTGGAGTGACTGGCGGAACTGGAGGAGGCGGAGGGGTTGTTGTAGCTGAAAATTTCAAACTAGGTGTCAAAATTGAATAGTCTCAAATAGCCTTTTTACTAAAATGTGGTCAATTTTCAAATGCTAGCGTAATATTGCCTCTAATTTATCCAATCGTTTACTTTTTATATCTTTCGATCTGTGGGCCCTCACAAAATCAGTCCGAGCAAATTTGAATAAGAATTGCAGTAGCTTTCAAAGTTGCAACGTTTCAGAAAACGAGTTATTTGAGAGGAACGGCTAATGATTAAATGATTCACTTGCACCCACTTGTCACTGTGATATCCCTAAAGTGTCCCTCCCATGGATAGGTGATTGTTCCCTCGAAGCTCGTAGCACAAACATGAAAATATTTCTAGAAAACGGATATTGAACTTTTAAAAGATCTATTTTAAGAAGGATTGAAAATAACTCACAAGGTTATCCGGAAACGCGATAAACTCATTCTTTTGCAAATCAAGCCAATTCGGTTTCCTCGGTTCATTCGTCGTAATGTCACATTTCTAAAAATCTCCAACTTTCATCAAAATAATCAACTACCATTTCCTTGCTCTGAAAAGTGTTCCCAAAGATATCTGTGAGTGCAACCGATGCAAATATCAGACTCCAGCCGGTATTGTTGTTGAAATGATTCTTGGCAATTTCGTGTCGTTTTCGTAAAACGGAAACACTCATCTCTTCGTCTTTTTCGAAAACTCGTGCAATATATTTTGCGGTGTTGCCGTTGAAAATGTTGTCAGTGATTGCGAAATTTCGCACTGCTGAAACTCTCAATAGAATTTCAAATTAAATCAAATATTTTATAGATCTCAGGTCTTTGCAGATAAAACTGACCAGAAGAATCCGTGTAAATCAAATCGATGAGCGAACTCTTGGGCGCCGCGTTAAACTCCGTATTGTTCGCAAAAGTATTATTTTCAATGAAAAACTCTTGCTCCGGATTGAAGATGGTTATATAAACACCTAGGTATTCAGAAAATGTTTCATTCTCTTTAAAATAGATACCTTGATTCGAGACAAAAAACGAGTTCTGTATGTCCAAACCAATCCCAGAGTTGTCCTTGGAAATGAGAATCCCTGCTAGAATTGGAATACGGGATAAAATTAAATGAATTGTTGTACCTGTGTTTTCTCGGAACGTCGAAGTAGTTATTTTGAGAAAACACGGGAAACATTTATCAAAGGACACTAAATGGCTGATACTTTAAAGTAGTTTACTTTTATGCACAAAGTTAGTGTCAAAAAACAGTAACTGTTTCCGTATTTTGTCCTACAAAAAAACCTACAAAAACTTACCAGCCGGCATGATGTGATTGGAAAAAGTTGTTGAAATGATTCTCACTGTCAGACGGTCGACAGATTTATGATGTGATTGATCTATGATATAAAAGGTTTTGTTTTCTAGAATAAATTTATTTGATTGAAACGGCTTAATCAAAAGCTTGAGAATACGATTTGAAACGAATGGCCTAAGTCCAAGAATCTTCCAGCCAGCCGTAGAGGTCAAGAAACCAGGAGGATATCACCACCACTCATGACAGTTGCAGGCTAAGCTACAAAATGCAATAGCTCTCTTCAAATTCAACCAAATTCCATCATAGTGGTATCAAAAGGTTTAGATTGAGCATTGTTCTGAGTTGATTGACACGTCACACACAATTTTTCATCAGAGAACACACTTTTGTGCAATGTGCAATGTCATTGGCATGTGCAATGACACTGTCAGAACTCCTTATAACACCGTTTGAAGGTTTTGAAGCAGTTCGATCCTTCAAGAATCCGCCCACCTTGCAAAACTTTCGAAATGATTATTCCATAAAGATTCTTTGTGATCTCCGAATCCACAATCGTCAACACCGAACTCCCATTAGAAAAACCAAAAGCACCGACATCTTTCGTGTACAAGATCCCATGACCGTAATTTGACGCAATTGTTGTAGATTTTAGGGCTAAAATTGGTTTTATTCAATTAATTGATTGGGATAATGTTTTGTTCAATTTCAAAATTCAAATATGAAACACTTACCAATTTTATTGACAGCATTGTATATCGTAAAGCCGGCCCCTTCATTTAGATTTGAGGAGCAATTCTCAAAAATGAAATCGGCAAACTGTAGTCAGCCATTGTTTTTCCTGATACTAGTTGCCTTCAGAATTGGAAACTACCGTAAAACGTCATTTTGAATCCGAATTAGCCAAAATCTCTGACTGAAGACCTAGAATTTTGAAAATCAGCTACGGTTGATGCTAGCCAATGGGTGTTCTCTAGATAAAAACCCATTTTTTTGCACTTTTATTTGATTAATTTTACACCGATTTTGAAGTCTTGTAATAGACTTTAATGTCCATTCTATTCTTTTGTCGCATAAATTCCACGAAGAGACTTGGGAATTTGAACGTGGAAACTCTTGTGAACTTTTCAAACGGCCAAGCAATGATTCCAAGTCGTATTTGATTCGTTTGTTCCGAGGCTGTTCCCTGACCATTTGCTTGAATTAGTTGAGATCTGAGCGATTTCTTAAGTTGAAACGATTTGAGTAAAAATTGTGTTGGATAAAAAAAATAAAGCACCCCGTCTTTATATCTTCCTAACGAATATTGTAAAGTCTGGCTTTTTAAAAACTGTTCTGGCTTAAGACGTTTACACTTCAATTCTTTAGGGCTTCATGACTAGCTTTACGAACTAGTGCAATGAGACACTGAACCCTTGCAGTAACCCCTTAAAAATCATGGCTTCTTGGCCCTTAACTATTTTGATTAGGTGGCACTTTCAGCTGTTTGCCCAACCGGCTGGGACTACTTGCTCAGTTACTAGAGGTTCTGAAAATGAAATTTTAAAAGTTTATCAGTTCGTGAAAAAAACCCTGGCGCAATATCATTAGGAGCTAACGGTCAGCCTGACGATTAATCGTTCACGGGCTTCAATAACAGCTTCAACATTGGGATCATTTCCTGGGGATTTTCAGGCCCTAGGTTTGTGAGGTTCATCTATATCAAAAATAGACAAGGTTTTATGACAAAAACTCAATAGACAATTTTCTATAGTTCTTGGATTTCACAACCCCTTTTGGATAATTCGTAAAAGCACTGAGATCGCTGTGATGAGGGTGAAAATGTTAAGCTGAAGACGCGCGGATTCGCACGGGAATCAAAGTAATAGGATTTTCGGAGTTGGTGGGCTCAAGATGGCAATTGTTACGGTGAAAGTTTATAGCCTAAAAATTTAAACACAAAAAAATCTTTGAAAAATTTGATTGCTTAAAAATGGAAAAACATCTTTATTGTTCAAGCAGCTGGCGGAGGAGGCGGTGGGGTGTGCTGGAATGACTGGCGGAACTGGAGGAGGCGGAACCGTTGTTGTAGCTGAAGCTGAAAATTGTTGTAGCTGAAAGTTTCAAACTAGGTGTCAAAATTGAGATAGTTTCATAATAGCCTTTTGTGTGAAATGTGGTCAATTTTCAAATGTTACCGTAATATTGCTACTAATTTTTTTCTTTTTTTTTTTTTTTTTTCTTTTCTTTTTTCCCCCCCCAAAAAAACAACCCAAAAAAATTTTAAAAAAATTACAAAAGCTTTCAAAGTTGCACGCTTTGGAAAAGAGTTATTTGAGAGGAACGGCTAATGATTAAATGATTCACTTGCACAAACTCCTAGCTCACTATGGTATCCGTAAAGTGGCCTTCCCTTGGATAGGTGATTGCCCCTCGAAGCTCGCAGCGGAAAATGAAAGCATATTTCTAGAAAACGGATATTGAACTTTTAAAAGATCTATTTTGAAAGGGATTGAAAATAACTGATGACCAGTTTGAATAATACTTTGGCAATCAATTCAAACAGAAACTAGAAAATGCCAACGATGTGGTCGCTTTGTGAAATAATAACCAATTTTTGAAAGTTGAAAACGTGCTCGATCGACACCGTTCAAGCCCAATAATCCAGCCCAATCCCTTCCAAATTGGCCAAAAAATGGCTTCATCAAAATCGTAGAAAACAAAACCAAATCGTGAATTTTATTTCTAAATAACCTTATTTCTCATAAGCATTTTCACGTAGAGCTTAAGCTTGAAAAAATGAGTATTTTGTTGCAAGAATTCTGACAATGAGACTTTTGCGATGAAACTTGTGACTTCATAAACTTGTGCAATCATAACTCCAAAGATGCCCCTAGGACCAGACCAAGCTTTCATCAAAACCAGTCTAGGTCATACAAGTGAATTAGGAAGACTTGGTTGCCAAGAAAAAAAATGCCTTTGGGACAACTCTGTATCAATCCACCCCCGCCAGAAGCCTGGCCTGGATCTTTCTTCTGGCTGAACATTGCCTTGTCTGACTTGGCTTACTAGAATCAAAATAAGTTAAAGTTTTTGAAGCGTTCACTCGAATTCGTTTCAAATTGAAATCAAAAGAACTAATCAAAAGAACTTCAAAGTCACATTTGATTCATACTTCTTTGCAATTGTTCCATTTTTGCCACCTTTTCGATCATGAAAAGGTTGATGTTTCTCTTAAAAAGCCGGTTTCCAACGATAAAAGGAAAAATATTACCTGTGTTTGATAGTTTTTCAAACACTGTTTTAAAAGATAGTCTTAATTCATTTTATTACTAAAATGAATCGGAATACTTTAAATATAATCCAATTGGGATTCGGAATGTTATTGGTATTTTTCGCCTTTTTCTCGCAGAGTTTCATCGTGGAGACGGTTGTGCAAAATAGACATGATGAGGATCCGAGTGTTTGGAAACATGCTGGATATTATAGGTAGTCTTTGAAATTTAAAATAAGATACAGAAAATATTTCTTAAAGGTTTAAAGACAAAAGTACTAACAATTTTCAGTCAAATGCTTGCCTATGTTTCGTTCGTTTTGGGTAACTTGGCCGCTCCGACATTGCTCTCGATTCTGGGTAGCTTTCTAACTAAAATAACAAGCAAAACATCTAACAATTAGATATATCTAATAACATCTAACAATGTAGATAACAAAACTTTTAACTGGTGTATGCTCCCTACGTTTCCTAAACGGCAGACAATCTTGAAGACTACCGTACCTTTGTATTACAATCAGATTTTGCCCGTTCACCTTGATTTTGATTGCATTTAATACACAATGGATTCCTCGTCGATTGAGAATGAGACTAAATCGAATATAATGTTGAATCCAAAGTATGATAGTTTACAAAATCACTCACCTTTTAGAAAGCGAAAAGAAAAACTGACTCTTGAAAAAAGGTTGGTTTTCAATTCAATAAACCTGGCAGAAATTGTATTGAAAATATCTGAAATTTTGATAACACTTACAGTATTCCATTACTTGACGATCCTAAAGCTTAATCAAAACTCTGATACTCCTTTGCAGGTCCTCGTCTCTCCTTCATCTGTGCCGCTCTTCCCTCTCCAATTTACATGTCCGGATTTCTCTTCTTCAATCAATATTTTCTCTATGGATCTTGTATTGTAGCGGGATTTATGGCCGGATGTAAGAAAACAATTCTTTTTGATAAGCGGACAATTTTTGATAAATCTAGGCCTCTGGACCTCAATCGGCAAATATGTGGCCGCGAATAGTGACGAGAAAACGATCTCCAGACACAGCAATCTAATGGTTTTCATTTACATGCCAAGGTTGTTAAGCATTTCAATTTACCTAAATTTACTTTAGTATGATATTTGGTGGAACCTTTTTGTTGGTGGTTTTTGGATCAAGAACCGATCAGAAGATCAGCATGGAAACGACTAGATTACTGTTCGGAATCTTCGCCGTTGTCAATTTTATTGGAGTAATCACTTTGGGATTGTTACCCCAAAAGAGAAAAAATGATCGCCATTCCACGAATCATTTCAAAGAATTGGGTAAAAAGTCTCTTTTGAGTTAACCTTTTTAAATTTAGTGAAGACAGTGAAACTGTTTACCACAAGAGATCAATGGTTACTGGCTGTTCCATCAGCTTTTACTGGCATTGAAACCTCATTCTTCACGAGTGTCTATCCAACTGCTTTGTCTTTCACGAAAAGTTTCTCAATGAATACGAATCAATTGATGGGATTAAATGCGATTGCAACGGGAGCTGGGGAACTTTTCGGTGGGTGGTTGAAGGGTAATGAGTGTGGATGGCTGTGGTTCTCGAAACCAAAGGGTTTCTAAAAGGTGCGCTTAAGGAAAGACAACCGTAATCCAGTTTTGATTTGAATGTTTTCAAAGACAAGGCTTACAGTAGAGTACGGTAGATTCGCCTTAACTTTTCCTTTCCAGGTGCCGCTTTCTTTGCTTGGAGCAGTAAATGGACGGATCGAATCGGAAGATGGCCATTAATGTGGATTGGGACAGGGATTAGTCTCATATCTTATGCATTGATTGCATACAATCTACCGGCTAATTCAACACATACAATGACTAATGAGAAACCGATTGCCTCAAGTCCAAGGTGAGGGAAGGGAAAAGATAATGAAAGTTATCGTTTTAGCATTACAATTGGTCTCATTTGCGGCTTCATGCTGGGTTTTGTGGATTGTTGTGTGAATACACGAATCATGTCTCACATTGCAATTCGCTATTCGGAAGACCCGGCTCCTTCATATGCTTTATTCAACTTTTGGCTGGTATGTGATTGAGTCATAAGCGTGTTTTGAGCTATATCAACCGCACAGACTCCTAGTGGTTCTGGAAGAAAAGTAAGGAGTTCAGTGTGTCGTGTGTTTGTTAGTGAACAAAGTACAGGTTTCAGACAGTTAAATGAGACATTTGTAGGCCCTCTTCACAGCTTCATGTCTTTTCTATGGCAGTGTCGCTTCTCTGTACATGCAATTGGGTCTTTTGAGTGTTGGAAGTCTCGCTTCAGCCATCACTTATACAATTGCTGATCGAAATTTGATGAATAACTTGAAATTGACGAAAGGAACAATTCCGGAGGTTAAAAAGCCTTAGTCTATTTGTAAAGACGATAAATTCGATGTCACTCTTACTTCTCTTTTAATGTTTTATTTTCTAAAGCGTGTCAACTTTCGAAAATGACCGTAATCTAGCTTTGATTCATAGGCAAGATTGTGAAAGTGACACTAACATTTATTTTTCAAACTTTTTTTGTCATTTTTCTATAAAATGTGATCAAAACTTTATTCTCTAAACATCAATATCAAAAATTTTCTGAAACATTTACATTTTCTTACTTTTCACGTTCTCCATCCGGAATTCCGCCTGAAAATTTGGGTTGACCGCCATCGCCGTATAGCGAAAGATCAAGCCAAAATAGCAGAAAATATCCTCCGAATCGAGTTTTCTCCTGAAAATCGCCTCGATTTTGTGCACCTCATTGTACATTTCTGCATCTAAAGCCACCCTCAACTCGCGTTCATTGATGAAATTGTCCAACAAATCCCTGTTTTCCTCAAAACAATCCATCGTCAACCCATCTTCACTCTCAACTTCCGGTAAGCCCAGAAAAATCTCCCGAATTTCTTCAAAAGCCAAATATTTGTCATCCAAATGCGTGTGTGGACCAAAAATTTTGATTTTCGCAATGGGATGTTTGCTGGGAATCCCGTTTCTTACCAAATTCTTCACGGTTTTCTGAAATTGACCAATGGTTAGACAAGAGATTTGAATAAATTCCACATTCGTTTGTGAAAGCGACTCAAAGAAATTCGCTTGAAACCCGGACCAGGCAATGTTTCGACAATTCGTGAAACTTTGCTTTGACAAAAATCGTTTCAACTCCGATTTCAGCGATTCTTCTTGGAGGTCCATAAAGCTGAGGTTTAGATGACATTTCTTCAAAATTTTCACGGAAAAATCTTCTAGAAACTCTCTGGCCAAGTCGAATCTCGATTTCAGCTCAAAATTTGCCACAGATTGAACTCTCGGCAGAAATTCGAATTTCTCTCTTTTATCTTTCCAAATTTCCCGTGAATCCACGTGATCCAAATGCATTACGTTAGGTAAAAGGATTCTCAGCGATTTACAGAAAATCACTTTGTTCACCAAATTCCAAATTGTTTTCGGCTTAAATGAGATTTCATATATGTTTTTATAGCTTTTCACCGTTACGGGTTCATTTTCGTGGAGCAAGATCTCGGTGTGTTGCCCTCTTCGATCAAAAAACTTCAAATTGAAATTCGTTGAGAAATTCCAATCGGTCAAATCGCGTTTACTGCGAATATTTTGAAAGAATATTTTCACATCGATTTCCTCGATTTTCTTTGTGAAAGGCCCATTCCTCAGGAGATGACATCGGAAAGATTTGCCGAGTTTTAAAAGTTTCAATCTTTCTTTAGAATGGACTTGATTTAGAACAGAATCTTGGAGTTCGGTGGGTAAATTCGAGAAATTGATCATAGCTTGTCGATTAAATGAGAATAGTAAAGCTGCGAATTCGTAGTGAAATTTTTGCACAATCAATATGTCTTATCTTTTGTGCGTCACATGGTTTTGTTTACTGGAGAAAAGGGGAAAGATGCGGATTTGCAAAGAAGAAAAAGCGTGAATATTTCGATAAAGTAAAAAAGAATTGAATAGGAAATTCTTCAGCTGAATATTTGTAGTAGAAAAGAAGTAATATTTTTCGTAAAACAGTTTTGAAGTTGAAATTTGAAAATTCTTGGATAAACTTTTCGAAAAGTTATTAAAAATACTTGTTAAATAAGATATAGATTATTTTTAGCTTTTATAGTTTTTTTTGATTAAAAAGATAGGATTTTGAAATCTTTGTGAATGGGTATTTTCTTATTTTCTCTCATGACCTTTTCCATGGGACACCAAATGACGGTGACTGAATGGATTGAGTGTGGGAGGGGAAAAGAAAAGAAAAGAAAAGGAAAAGACGTTGAAAGGGATTTATTTTTGAAGACAAATTTGGAAATTGAATAACAAAATAGGAATCAAATGATGAAATTCAAATGAACAAGGAATTGAATGTTCTAAAAGGATCCAAACCTATTCAACTAGAGTTGCTAGCTAGAACTGACAATAAGTGCGCCAGATGGCCTACCAGTTCGAGAATATGTATGAAATAATATCAAAAAGAGATCAATAGCGATTCTGATTGTAAGGTTTTGCTAGAATCGCCAGTTCTTTCTTCCGTTCTATTTTATGCTCAAGCCTTTGTCTTCTTTGCAAATCCCAAATTGAGAAAAGTTGAAGGAGAAAAAGTAGGATCGAGACGGGCATCACACAAATTATATAAAAACAATAATTTTCATCCCAAGGCAGTTTCCTCTTGCAATTCAATTGGTTAATCTTCCAGGCCCAGGCACAAGTGAGGATTGGTGCGGTTAGGGTCTGAAAAGTTCCGCTTTAAGAAATGTGTTGAAGATTTGAAATATCAACTATTTCATTTTAAGGTATGGGCTAGACATTGGCATCTTCGATACCAGATCTTTCAATTCCGATAACTCACCAAATACACGAGAGCCGGCGTGTGAAATCGGTATCGCTTTGAGATACTCCCATAAAGACTCAACAAAAGCGTCAAGATAGCACCAGTAAATGTAAAAATGATTACATCAGGAAGATAGCAGGCGTATGTTCTAAATGGATAGCAAATGTTGGATTATGATTGTAAAACTCGGTAACCAACAGAGATTGGATTAACCAATATCTACAAAGGCCAAACGGTAATTTCGGTTTTCGCGGTCTACCCCTTTCTCAGTTTGTCCCGCCAAAATTTGCAAAAGGATAAGGAAAGCTGTTCGCTTAAATGTTAATGTTGACCAAAGCATTAAATGTAAATTGACGGGATAAACCAAACAATGCCAATCAAACCTATGATATAGATTTTGTTGGCCACGGTAGCTTGGGCATACTTTAGAGCATCTTTAAAGGGTAAAACCTTCATTGGAATTTATTAATCAATAGACAAACTATTAGTAACTTACTAGATAAAGTACAGCTTATAAACTTACGCTCCAGTCCGGCAATCACCCCATCCAGACACGAGTTGCGTCCCCGTCAATAATATGTACAGTGCAAGATTGAGAAAACAAATAAACATATGATTGCCTTGAGCCGTTTCATACATTTTTTAAAAATATAGGATTAGATTAGACTAATCAGTTTAAAGAAATAGTGCAAATGAAAGGAAAATCCTTGAAACTCTTGATGCACTTTTCGATGTTTTCCTCCGGGTTTTCTTCACGGGCAATGTCTCATTGGTTGAGTCAGTTTGCATCGAGAAAAAGGCAACAAAATCATCGATTTGCTTTGTGAGTTAACAGGGAAAATTTGAGGGTTAATAAAGATTAAAGTGTTTGCTAAAAGACACCTATTTTAGAAAGCTACCGTTGTCAACTCAGTTCACATCGATCAGCCTAATCTTTGTATCATTCGAGGGGAATCACAAGGCTTTCAATGTGATCAAAATTGGGTTGATCGAATGAAAACTGGTGATTGATTACGGTAGTTTTAAGAAAAAGGTGTCTTTTAGAACGCTCTAATAAATATTTATTCAGAATAATGTCAGAATACTGCCACGAGGAACGATGAGACGTTGACGCCGGAGCAGGAGGACGACCAGTGAGATTCGACCAACTTCCACACAACATAACAAGATTGCGATGATAAGGGCGAGTATCTGAAAAGGGTATTATTCGCAGGTTGCAGTAAACAAGGTCTTTTCTTTTAAAAAGTATGTACTTTTCTCGGTTTCTTTTCTCAGTTCTTGCCCTTTGTAGGTCACAAAAAGATTTTTTTCTCTAATTTTTCACTCTATTTAGTTCTCCTAACTATTGTCGGAAAATGGCCACAAATAAAGGTGGTTTACAGTTTTTAGCCCAAGTTGTTTTACATTCAGTCGAACTCTGCCCTTCGTTCAGCTAGAACAAGAAAGTTCTAATAAGAAAGTTCAAGAAAGTTTCTACTGTAACAAGAAAGTTCACCTTTATGCCTGCATAATATTTCTAATCTAGCTTGAATGTTTTGAAATGCTTGTTGAATTTAAATATTAAAGTATAGATGGCCCTTATCCTCATTTTACCTTTATCGGACAAGCACTTGGCATCTGTAGTCCGGTAAATGACGAGTTATCTAAGTGATGAAATATCAGAGCACTCCAAACCACCGCTACAACTTGACAAAGAAACTAAAAGATATAGGATTTTAAGCCAAGACCAAACACTCACACTCGATACAAAGTTCAACGTTTGCCTACTGTGATGCTTTCGAAGCGTGAAACAAACAGAAAGCAAATTTGTAAAGATCACAATCCAACTGAGAATATTGCAGATTTTCGGCAAAAGATCGGAGACACTAAATCGAAACACAATTTTAGAGTTTGGAACTACAATTTTACGTGCTAGTGATGTAGAGGAGATCGAATAGAGAGAAAAGAATCAGAAAAGCGGCCGACATTCCGGAGAGGAAACAGTAGGCACCCTGAATCAGATTTCAAGTAAAACTTTGTGTGAATCGCAGGATTGTTCTAACCAAACTCTAGAGCAACCAGGCAGACAAGGCAAGGCTAGCTGATCTTGTTGTTCATCATTATCCCATGATGACCCCATCAACTTACCTCAAGTGTTGCCATTTGTTTAACCAATACATCACAAAGTTTTCAATGCATTTTGCAAGAATTCTTCAGAAATCTTTTCTGAAACAAATTCGAGGGAAAATGCTTTGTCTGTGCCGGTGAATGAGTCTGATTCAAAGTGTAGCTGGTACGAATTTTCGCGAATAGTTATTTCCCTGTCTCGGTTAACTGGTCTCATGTACATGAGATTAATTCTTGACCATCAAAAATGAAACTGTTTTTTATACGGTGTGTTAGACAAAAGGGCAATGTCATACTTAGATTCATAAAAATCTGAACCAAAATTAGTTCTTGAAATTTGTTGCGCAGTTGGTAAAGATTTTTGCAAAAATTTATAACACAATTGCTTTGATAAAATTGATCGATTCACAAAACCGTAGAATGATATGGCGAATTCAAAACAAAAATTCAAAGGGAAAACCTAAAAACCCGATGGCTAACTTATACTTTTATAACCGTATCAAATAAATAAAGAATTTGACGGGAATTTGGCAATAAAGTAAAGCTCCAGTGATTTAAGGAAAATTAAGGACTCAAAATTCAAGTTTTTTTTCAAGATTGTTGTATCAATAATTGTAAGTGTAAACTCCTAAAACGATCGAAATTCGTACAATGTTATTATCCTATTCTTGGGGAGTCGTTTTGCAGTAGGTTCTCCGTTGAAAGCACGTCAACAATGCCGATTTCACCACTTCAAACGGACTCCCTTTCGAGCCTCGCCGCTTCCGTGGTGACTCCATTTGGTATTTGTGAAGCTAAAATGGTTTGTTGATTAACTTTGGATACTTTTTGTTCGTAAGCTAATTTCTTTGATGAATTGAATCCTTGCAAGCGCCAAGCTCACATCAGTAAGCCATTTGGAGGCTGTCAAGGTATACTTGCAATTGTTTTGCTTATGTTTTATGCAAAACCATAATCAACTTCTACCAGTCATTAACATGATTTTTTCAATTTATCATTTCAATCTCCTACCTGAACATCAATTGATAGTCTGGATCCCCTTCTCCACGCGGCAAACATATCATAATCCATATGAGTCAACGGGAGACTTGTATCGATTTGATCCATCGATCGTCTTAATAATATCGGTTTTGACGAGGGTGATGGAGGGTTTTCAGTCTAAAAATGAATGTAAATGTTTGAATCGAGAGCTCAGAATTTACCCTCAATCCACTATGGTATGTTGGTGGGAGAATGGCCTCAATGCTGAAAGAGACTCGTTTCGGATGGAAGCCAGCTGATAGGTAAAGCTGGAGGATGTCGGGTGCGGAGGTGCTTTGTCGAATTCCGTCTGAATATTAGGATTCTTCTTCTCAAAGCTCACCAGCCGAATATCCAACCGAACTTATGCAATATTCAATTGAAAACCAGAGTTGAAGATCTTCAACTTGGATAAAGATCTTCAACTCTGGTAAGCTTAAAATTATCAACTCTAACTATAAAATTCTCTTAGTACTAGTGTCTTATTCCTTTATTTCTTTAAACTCTTCTCAAATCTCACCATCCGAATATCCAGCCACAGTCATATTCGCCACCATAATCGAGTGTCGCCTTTTCTGTTGTCTCTCCATTTTCTGTCCCATCTTATAGCGTTCTTCGGCCGATGAGTGACGCGGGACACCGGATAGATCCAATTCGGCGATTCTAATCAGAATCCCGTATAGAGGGTCGGCGTCTCGGTCGTAACAAGATGGCTCTAAATTGGAGTTTTCAATGACAGATTGATGGCAAAGTGAAGGGAACTTCTAGTGATCATGTTTTTTTGGTGTTTTTCACGGGAAGAGTTCTCGTTGGCTTACTATTTGAAGTATTGGATCTCATTTTAAGATATTCAATCAAGAAGTTAAAGATCGTTTTAAAACTAATCTTTACAATTTTGATTGCAAATTTGATTGAAGAAAAAATCTTGGTACATAAAACTTTTTAGGGTGTGAAACACTCAAAAACACTTTTCAAGCTGTGAGAACTTTATAGATTTGTCTCAATTTCTATGCGATTCTACTAAAGAACCAACATTCTTTGGTCTGAAAACATCCTCTTACCAGGTTCAACGGAGTTCCAATTCTGCATGAAATCCTTCTGTGAAGGCTTAATGAGGACGGGATCGGATCTCGCTCGTCTCATTCGACTCTGCACATGGCTCGTTTTTCGCATGTTGGCCAACTGGAATAGGAATAGGTCTCGGATTGAAAGATTGAATTTGAAAATTGAGAAAATGCTAAAAATTTTAATGAAAGGGAAAACGATTCAAGGAAATGGATAAAATCTCACGTCAGATTCACACAAAAAGGTGAAGGAAAAAATGAGGTACCGGAAGAAAAATGGGGGAAAAGGAATGGGGATTTGATAAATTTGGTCTTGTAAAGGAAGAAACGAGATTGGAGTTGACTGGCTTGGGTTCCTTTTATTTACGCGATTTCTAAAAGGCATCTATTTTTGAAAACTACCGTAGTCTAACTGCCAGTTTTCATAGTATTGGCCCAATTTTTATATAATTTGATGAGAAATCACATCACAAGGCTCGGTCAATGAGACCAAAATTAGGATGATTGAATGTAAATAAGCGGTTGGATTACGGTAGTTTCCAGAAATAGATGCCTTTTAGAAATAGAAACTAACAGAGCCTCAAAAAGTTCAAGTTCGCAGCTTCTGCAAGGCTTTTGAATAATGCTAATCTCCATAGTTCTATTTTTAACCTAACTCACTCAAAAATAAGCCCATCTAAAAGCAACGAAACATGCAACGCCTCGAGCTTCGATACCCGGAAATGAACGAATTTCAAAAGGAAAACGAGAGCGGAAATGCGACGAAAGACTTCCTCAGAAAGAGGAGATTTCAAAGAGCAAGATCCATTTTAGACAAGAACCTCTTAAGCAACAAATTTTGAAAAAAAAACTCGGATTCAGTCGGGCAGAATGATCAGTGTACTTTGTGCTCAAGCATACAAATTCAAAGTTTCAGGAACAGTTGATTCGTAATTGTTCTTCGAATACCAATGCTTCCTTTAAAGAAAGATCAATCGAGTGCACTAGAAAGGGTGTTTCTATATTTAAGCATAAAGTATAGCTTAAGAACTTCCCTAATGAAAGTTCAAAGAGCAACACCCATTTTAGAAATGAACTCTACAACTGAAGCCTTTTTGGGAAATACCTTCCTTTCATTCTTTTTTCGCCTTTTTTGTGGGCGTCAACTTTTCCCACGAAATCCGCTGGACTTTCGCGCAAAAATTCTCAACAATTTTGTCGCAACATGGGAGTTTTCGAGGGAAAAGCGTTGGTGAACAGAAAAGGGGAAATCATTCAAGAGTTTATTGTGCATTTTTGGAAAAAGTTTGTGAAAGGATGTAAATTTGTGAGTTATTTTAGTGGGGCCTAAAAGAAGCACTTAATTTTCCAAAAATGGAAACTTTGTATAATTGGCAAAATCTCAATGGGCAATCTCAGTTTTGGAGCTGAAAGACTTTAAAACAGGGGAGATTCAACTGATCAACTGTTGTGCTCAGAAACAATGCGTACTCATTTGTCAAGTGAACGGTTGTTTATTGAAATAAATTGATGATAAACAAATGAATGAGTAGACTGGTTGTAAGCGCATTTTTTATCGTCGATCCACGCAATGTAGCCAAGGTGCAGACAAAGTTAGCGAGAAACCTAGTTTGATGATTAAACTCAAACTGGGTTGGGTTAGACTAGAGGACGGCTAAATTTCCCGGTGATCAGTAATGAACAGCCAAGTCTAGTAAGATTGTAAGTCTTTGTAACAAGTATACTTTCAAAGTGCCCCCCTTGCCCACTCAAACTGAATATCTTCTAGTTTCATGGGGAATTTCAAACAAAAGGGGCTGCTACGAAAAAGCTACGCAGAAAAAGGGGCGGGGCTTCGTAGCTTCATTTGTTTGAATTTCCCCACAAAATTAAACGATTCTCAACTAGAGTTCAGGGGGACACTTTGAAAGTACAGTAACAAGCAAGAATCTAGCTTCTTATGTGACCAAAAGACTGATTCAAAGGGCATTTGATCCACCAGGGTTACCCCTAGGTCTTTTAAATGGACATTTCAACCGCATGCCCAACCAACCCAACAAAAAGCGCATTGTAAAAAACTCGAGAGCTTGAATGAAAATGTAATTCTTGTAACGATATGAGAACAATATTTTCAGAGCTTGTCGTGCTTCAAGAAGTTTCAGATTAGTTATAGTTGAACTCGAATAAAAATTTGCTGAAAAGATTCAGCGAGAACAGCTTTAAAAGAAACAAATGTGATCAACGATTTCAAGCCCGTTCACTGACTATGAGTAAAAAGGTTTTAAAATTTTTTACAAAAAAGGCGGTCAAATGTAATGTGACAATTTGGGCCAATGGGATCCCTTCAAAAACAGAGTTTAGGATTGGCGAGAACTCCCAAAAAACTGATCATTTGTAAAATGAGAAATTCTGCAGTGAGGTAAAGTGAGCACTTTTTGGACACACATCCACAAATTAGATGCACATGTGTGCGTTTAAAGAATCCAAATCGAAAGAAGAGCTGGCTTTTTAGGGGAAATTTCGCGGTGACGCTAATTTTGTTTTTTTCTCCAGGCTCCTGCTGTCCAATAAGACACTGATAATGGGATTAGTTCAGGGATGAATCTAATAGAAAGAGTCCTTATTTGGAGCACCCAAAAATAGGGGTGGCTAAATTTAAACCTGACAAGTTGTATTCAAAAGGAGTTTTTGAGAGTTGAGGCTTGTCTAAACTTCTGAATCATTGGAACAATTGAAATTGAAGTTGAAAAATAGAAAGGAATTAGTTCAGAAATAAAGGATTATTCAAAATTTGAGCATTATGATAAGACTTACAATAACTCATCGAATAAAATTGTTATCTGTACTTTAAGAAAAGTACTTCAAAAAACAATCCTTGCAGCTTTTTTTGAAACTGATAAGTGACGTCGCAAACGTTTTGAAAAACAAATGAAGATTAGAAGAACTGTACAAAAACGTTTTTTTACAAGTTAAATTTTCGGATTCAGTTGAAATTCTGAAATTGAAAGTTTTGAAGTAATTCATTCGAAGCAATTATCTTTAGCCAAGTTTTATATGCTGAGCTGATTGCTTACACTAACCAATCCATCCAAGAATGATATGAATCCGAGAAAACAACAATGGAAAGGAATTTGAGCCATTCAAATGACACAATGAAGAGATCCACGTGAAAACACAAAACAATAGGGCAAACGAGAGGAGACAAAAATATTGGAGAGGAATTTTTAAAGGAAAGAAAAGAAAAGCCTTTGCGAGTAGTTCAAGGTCAGTTCATATCAAGAATAAGGAAGTTGATATTGGTGAAAAATTTTAGATCAACATTATCGTTTGGAAATTTAACCTTTGGACTGTAGTTTACCTTGAAAATAGCATTGTCTGAGTTCAAGAAGAATCTAAGTTTATGGTAATTTGGAGATTAGACGAAAAATTTCTCGTACGTTTTCATGCGTGAGAAAACGAATCGGTTATCGGCTATAAAATTTCATAGGAAAAAGGAAATGAAGTGGAAAATTAAACAAGAAAGCAATCAATGTGAAACAACTGAAACAAATTTTTGCCCGTTCTTTGTCAACTTTTGCTAGATAAATTGAATTTTCGTTTTGAGTCGTGATGTTGAAAAAATGGCTGAGAAGCGTTCGCTCGTCACTTTGAATTTGTTTTTAAAGGAAATATGTAGCTACAGCTTCAGCAAAATAACTTCTAAATACTGCTTGCGTCACAAATCTGTTTTGTAAATTTTCCCATTAAATGTCAGGTCAGCAAAAAATAAACATTGCACAGATGGTAAAAACCAGCGTACAATTTGAGTCTTTACATTTGAGAAGGGCAATTCTAAAATCGCATTTTCTATTTGTAACTAACTCGGCTTGATAGTAAGTCTAGTTGTCAGGAGATGGGTTTCTCAGGTTTTCTAAAAAATAGGCAATTTTGAAAACTACCGTAATCTTTTTCCTTCAGACGCTCTACTTAATTTTGATCCCATCCAATTAGAGTTTATTCCTCTTTAAAAGAAGCGCATGATTAAGTAAATCAGAGGAAAATCTGACCTAGAAGTTTACGGTAGCTTTCCAAACTACTCAGCGCTTAGAAAACGAAGAAAAGACAGCAGTATCAGTCGTTTAAAAAATGGTAACATAGCCCAGCATTCCGTCTAGCTACTTTCTTACTACATAAATTTTGTAGCAGACCTGAGCTAGGTATGTTAACTTTGAGAAAAATGAGCCACACTTGGAACTAACTGTTGCATTGAGTAAACCAACCAACAAAGCAATGCATTAAAAAAGTTACTTAGAAAGCAAAGCAGCTCACAAAATCAAAAGGCCAAATCCAAAGCAACAGTGAGCCTTATTTCTGGAACCTATCAGGAACCTTCTTTCGGTCTGCTGTTGCAAAAAGTCGACCCTCTCTCCGGAAAGTTGTATCTATTTCAGTGAGGGGTGAATCTTTTTCGGACACGTATGATTGGAGAAAACAAATCCATCGTCCGTGCAACAGAGATCTTCCTCGTTTTCCCCTTTTCCCCCTTTTTTCAAACTTGTCACTTCTTTTTCGGTTTCCTCTTCTTTGCCTTTTTTCATTGTTAAAAGGGGGAACACATGACGATTGTAAGCCGTTGATGGAAATTCGCAAAAAGTTTGTCATTACAAGCATCAGCTCAAAATGGCTCAATGGGTAGCTCAAAATGTGCTTTTACACGATATTTTGAAAGGTTTACAAACTCGAATCGAATTTACAACAAAAAAGGTCCACAGACTTGACAGCTTGTAAAGATTTAGGTAAACGAAAGCCAAAAATTCAGCTGATCTTGAGATTTAAAAATCATAGCCCATTTGAATCCAAAAAGTCTCAAAATTTAGCTCGCAGCATGCGAAAAAAGCTTTGGATTCGTTGACTACAATTCCTTGGAATTTTGTGATTAGTCTTGTAAAATGGAATAGGAAATGAGACCAAAAATCTAAAATCAAGATTAAATACAAATGTTATCCAAATACCTTATCTAGAAAACTTTCTCAAGAAAACTGTCTCTCTTGTCAACAAATTCCCATAAAAGTGATAGAATTTATGAGAATAACAAGCCGAGAAATGTTTCAGACTAAACAATTTCCATAATTTTTCTGCTAAACAAAAGTG